TTAAAATGTTATATGAAAAAGGTTCTTCTAATATTTTTGTGTATCTTTGAATAAGAAAGAAGTTTACAGGCTGACTCCATGGCCTGGTGGCTAAGGCAGTTGGATCCCACATGGCTGACCCTGCAGTTTAAGTCCCAGATCCAGTGGCTTAAAAAACACTCGAGGTTTATGTGTGTGTATGTCCAAAACCCCAAGTAAAGGGAGAATTGGAGGCGAAGGGATTGGAGAGAGAGATGGAGAAGGAATTGTGGGGGGACCTTTCTCCTCAGGGGAGTGCTTTCTTCCTTTCTTTATCTGGCTCTCTCTTTCTCTCTCTGGTACATACACTCTCTGGCAAAAATTTAAAAAAGAAAACAGTTTGCATTTTTATTTGAGGAAAGGGCCTAGATAGAATAGCAAAATGAAGACATAAATGGATAAAATGTGTATTTACTAAAGATAGCAATATGTGGATTTTCCTATGTTGCTCTTTCCCAGTACTTTTATAACACTTTTAGAGGCGAGTTAGGAAATATGTATCTACAGATGGGACACCCTTTATCCAAGCCCTCCAGCAGGTGTGAGAGTGTAGGTTCAAACACTCGGCTAGGGAGGTTGTGGAAATTATAGAACCACCAACGAAGCTGCTTCACCTCTAGGTGTTGGGAGGGGTGCAAGTGGGACCTCCATATCTTCATTCATCATTTTTTTTAATTTAGAGAGATTGTTTTTGCTCCGGAGGGCACATGTACTCACCAGTGAGACAGAGAGAAAGTGAGAAATCATCCCCTAGAGGGGATGGCCACTCTTCAATCCCTTCTCCTCCATTCTCCTCTTGGGATCTTGAGCACACATGCACATGCACCCAGCGTTAAGTCTTAAGCCTCCAGCTCTGGGACTTGAACCACAGTCACCTATGTGGTAGTCGAGTAACATAACAACTGTACCATCTGCTAGTCCCTCTAGTTCATAATTTAAGATTATGACTACATTAAAAAGTCTAACATACTCTTTAGATGCAGAGTTCTACAGTATTGGTAACTATATATATATATATATATATCTTTTTTTTTGGAGAGAGAGAGATTTTTGCTATAGGGCACATGCGCTCACTGAAGAGAGAGAGAGAGAGACAGTGAGAAATCAACCCCCAGCATTATGGCCATGCTGTAGTCTCTTCTCCTGTATTCTCTCAGGATTTTTACACATACACACCCAGTGTAAGTTTTAAGCCACCAGGTCCAGGACTCAAACCACGCTTGACTATTTGGGAATCCAGCAGTGTAACCATTACACATTCACTGTCCCAGTATATTTTCTTTCTGTTATGAAGAATGACATTTAATATTTTTTCAATTTTTTTTTTTTTTTTTTTTTATTTTTTTCCTCCAGGGTTCAGAAAATTTTTTTTTTTTTTTTGAAAAATTACATTTAATTTTTTTTTAATTTTTTTTTTTTTTTTTTTTTAGCTTTTTGCCATAGGGTGCCTGCACTTGCCAAAGAGAGGCAAAGAGAGGAAAAATGAGAAATCGCACACCTGCCCCCACAAGGGTGGATGGCCACACTACAATCCCATCTTCATTCCCCTCTTGAGATTTTAGGTACCCATGCACACATGATTTTCTTTTTTTTCTTTTTTTGCCTATAGGGCACATGCACTCACCAGACAGACAGAGAGAGACATAGAGACAGAAAGTGAGAAATCACCCCCCAGGGGGGATGGTCACGCCGCAATCCCTTCTCCTCCATTCTCCTCTCGGGATCTTGGGCACGCACGCACACATGCCCGGCGTGAGTTTTAAGCCACCGGGTCCAGGACGCGAACCGCGGTCGACTACGTGGGAGTCCAGTGACATAGCCATTACACTAACTGCTGGTTCCCTGCACACATGATTTTCAAGCTGCTGGGATCAGGACTCAAACTATGATGGACTAGTGGGAGTCCAATGCCTTAACCACCATGCCACCTAATGGCTTCTGACATAGAAATTTTAAAAGACTTTGATGTTGAGTGGTTCAGAAGCAAACTTTGAAATTCCTTACATGAAAGATAATGGGATACCAGCAGTTAGCATAATGGCTATGTTGCTGGACTCCCATGTAGTCGACCGTGGTTTGAGTCCCGGACCCAGTGGCTTAAACTCACACCTGGCGTGTGTGCATGCGTGCCCAAGATCCCGAGAGAATGGAGGAGAAGGGATTGTGGCATGGCCATCCTCCCTAGGGTGATTTCTCACTTTCTGTCTGTGTCTTTCTCTCCAGCAAGTGCCTACGTCCTATAGCAAAAATCTCTCAATAAAAATCATCTGGATTAAATACTCATCGGCATAGCTTTTGAAAAAATCATACACACTAGAGAGAGAGAGAGAGATGTAAAGAAACACAGATGCCTATACCCAGTGGAGAACCTTCTCACTAATCATGTTTACTATGTTGCCTCGTGTAGCCCTGGTTTCTTTGTTTATGGCCTAAGTAAATAAATACTTGGTCTGAATTGTTGGCTCATTTGGGACCAGTCTGCTGAGACCTCTACCCAGTGTCCCATTTAGCCAGGTGTTCAGAGCTGTCAAACATTTTGATTATAGCCCTGCTGCTGGCCTGTGCTCTCTGCCCTGGTGTGTTGGTGCCTTTCTTTCATTACTTAACAGTCTAGTCCCTTTATGGGTCTTTATAAATAACAGGTCTGGGAAATATTCTGTGTAGATCTGTCCTTAAGTGGGCAAAAGCCAAAGATGATTATCATCACTCCATGCTGCAGTGCCCCCCGTATGACAATGAGGCAGTGTAAAATGGTGGAGAGATGAATCTGGGAGTCAGACAAACCAGGACTCAGATCCTGGCTCTGTGTACTGTTTTTACATGATATTTGACCTAAATGCCTTTAACTATAAATTAATAAAAATAATAAAAATATTTCATGGAATTATTAGGAAAATTTAGTGAAATAATGTAAGTAATGAAGTTTGGTCTATATATAATTGAAAGTAAACGATGGCGATAGGGAGGAAGGAAATAATTTCCTTCTAATGCCTTTTTGTTTTTTACATTTACTTTTATTTTAACTTTATTTTTTGTTCATTTATCTTAATTTGACCAGAGAGGGACAGAGAGAGAGAGAAGGAGAGAAAGTGAGAAAGCAAGCCACCAAGTCCAGGACTCTGGATAGCCAGGACACTGTTAGCCACATGGGAATCCAGCATCCTTAACCACCACGCCACCTGCCAGCCCTTCTAATGCCTTTTCAGTTTTTTTTTTTGAAAGAGATTTTTTATAGCGCATGTGCACTTGCCAGAGAGAGACAGACAAAAAGTGAATAATTACACCCCTCCCCAGGGGGGATGGCCATGCTGCAGTACCTCCTCCTCCATTCTCTCGAGATTTTGAGGGCACACACACACATACCTGGCATGAGTTTCAAGTCACTGGGTCTGGGACTTGAACCATGGTTGATCACATGGGAGTCCAGCCTCTTAACCACTATGCCACCTGCTGGTCCCACCCTTTTAATGTTTTAAAATCAGAAAAGAGCAAGCTTCTACTAGACTGTTACTAGGTTTCTCATTCTGGAGCTGTGAGCCAGGGTAGAGTTAATCTACAATTAGCTTGAAATAGGTTTCATTATTTGCCTTGAAGGGGGAGGCCTGACTTTTTATGTGAAAGACCAGAACTCAAACATGAAACAGCAAGAAAAAGTAATCCTTTTTAACTTTTTTTTTTTTAAGATTTTTTTTTTGCCATGGGTCACCGGAGGGAAAAAGAGACAACGAAACAGTGAGACA